TGCTGGTAACTGGGAATGATATTTAGTAAAGCGTTTTTTAATGAATTCATCGATTATTTCTACTTGGAGTTCACGATGGAGTTGACTGTTTCTTGCAAACCAAGAGGCATCTAATGCAATTCTCAGGATCTAAGTTTGGATTGGTTTGTCATTTTTTTCGTTTCATGCTGGATGCTGTATCCCACACTTCACAACCGGACATCATTAATGGGCATATAATTGTCTTGTAAATTAGGTCGGTTATATCTACTTTTAGGCTTGATTTTCTGTTGATGATGGAATATACAATTGAAAGCCTAGTGTAGGTTTGAGTTAGTTTAGTGTTAATATGGTGATTCCATTTAAGGAGACGATCTAGATGAACACCGAGCTATTTTACTGCTCCGTAGGGCGTATTCCACAGCAACTTGTTACCGTTGAGGACCTTTTCGGTTGGGTCTCTTGGTAAAAACTTTAACCTCTGAGGGTAAAAATTTTGGTATAACATTTCTGTACATTCAGGCTGATCTTCCTTTTACTGAAGTACTTCTCTAAATCAATGAGGTGATTTTAAAGGATGTTTCTCGCCGTTCTTACGTCTTCATGCTGAGAAAAGACTGCCGTTTCGTCAGCGAACATAGCTATGAAGGTAATTTGGGACTGTTTGATGTCATGCAGGAAAAAGTTAAAGAGAATGGGTGAAAGAATTGAACCTTATGTAGTAGTGTTCCGACATAATTTTTTCTAATATTATTTATATACTAATATTATTATGAAGTTATATTATTTATTTTAAAAATGTTTTGGAGTGTTAACTTACTTGAGATTATATCGAAAACCTTGTCGAATGCTTGTTGAAAATCAAGGAATGTAACCTGTATATGTTTTTGTTCACCACAAATTCTGATAATCTTGATAGTTGCTTTGATGTGAAGTGACCGAACGGGAAACCAAATCGAAAGTTCATAATAATTTCAATAGACTGAAAAAAAAGAAGAAAGGCATTTTTTTATAACTGATTCTAACAGTTTTCCAAGGATCGGTAGTAAAGTTATAGGCCAATAATTGCATAATTGTTGCTTATTTTTGCTTGTAGGTAACTACCAGTTCAGCTTTCTTCCATGAATTAGTAAAATAACCAATACATTGACAACAGTTTAAAATTTTTTTTTTGCACTTACATATATTTATCCGCACCTGTCAATTATAACTATTGACAATCAGCAGATGTGCTGGCACAGTCATGAGAAAAAAAAATAAAAAATAAAATAAAAAGGCTTGATAGGCATGAGTAAAAGCAATACCCAGTGGCATCCTTTCCATGGCTTTTACTTACTTACATACAATTACGTAAGTAGGTCCCTCATCCAGACCCTTTTCAGTCGTCTTCTGGAGTTCTCCGGCATAATAGTCGTGGCCATTTCTTTAATTAGCTGGTTGGAGTGTCCATGTAATTTATTATGAAATCGTTTGTAGTAAGTTCGTATGTGTTCATTGATCGTTGGCATGTGTAAGTCAGTGTGTAAAGTGTTATTATTCACGTACCAGGGTGCTTGGGTAATTAGTCGTAGTATCTTAGATTGAAAAGTTTGAAGTTGTTTTATGTGTGTTGGTTTTGCAATTCCATATATTTGTAGTCCATAAGTCCAGAGAGGTTTTAATAGGTATGTATAAATTTTTAATTTCGAATGTCGTCTTAATAATGAATGCAATAGTTTTAATCTGTGATTTAATGATGCACGTTTTTTCTTTACATGTGGACCCCATGTCATTCTTCTGTCAAACGTCAGGCCTAGGTATTGTACTCTATCTGTTTGTGGAATCGGTATGTTGTCTAAGTATACAGCAGGGCATGTTTCTAGTCTTAGAGTAAACGTGATGTGTTGTGACTTTTGATAATTTATATGAGTTTTCCATAGTTTACACCAATCGTTTATTTTTTGTAAGTGATGTTGTAGGTTAAGTGATGCCTGTGTAGAATTATCGTGTCTAGTAATGATAGCAGTGTCGTCTGCGTATGTTGCTGTAAGTGTGTGGATACTTTGAGGAATGTCGTGTGTGTATGTGATGTACAGTAATGGGGCTAAGATTGACCCCTGAGGTACGCCAGCTAAAATAGGTCGAATTGAGGATATACCTGAACCGTGTCGAACGGAGAAAAATCTGTCTGAGAGAAAGGAGTGAAGAATTAAGTAGTAGGTTGGTGGGAGTATGGTCTTAAGTTTGAAGAAAAGCCCCTGATGCCATACTTTGTCGAAAGCTTGGGCGACATCCAGAAATACCCCGGTTGCATATAGTTTTCGCTCTAGTGCTGTCGATATGTAGTCAGTTACCCTGTGTAATTGTTGTGTTGTTGAGTGTAATTTTCGAAACCCGAATTGATGGTCAGGAATAATCTGTTTGTCTGTTAGTATATGTAATAGTCGTGAGTATAATAGTTTTTCAAATAATTTAGAACACACTGGAAGCAAACTAATCGGTCTATATGAAGAAGGATTGTTAGTTTCTTTGTCTGGCTTTTTAATCATGGTTATATGAGAGTATTTCCACTGTATTGGAAATTTTGTGGTCCTAAGAATGCAATTGAAGATTGTGGTGAGAAACACTAGAGCTTTCCTTGGCATTTGCTGGAGCGCCTCAGCATTTATCAAGTCATGACCAGGGGTTTTTCTTTTCGGTAATTGTCTAATTTCTTGTGCAACTTGTGATGATGTGAAAGGAGGTGGTGGTAGTGTGAGCTGTAGTGGTATGTCTAAACTATTTTGTACAAAAATATCATGTTCTATATTAACGAAGTCCGTATGTGATTTAAAAACAGAGGAAAGATGAGTAGCAAAGAGTTCAGATCTTTCTTCGTCCGAAACAGCCCAAGAACCATCCTCTCTTCGTAGGGGTGCTGACACCTCACGATGCTTTAAAAGATTCCTTGTGTGTCTCCATAAACTTCCATCGTCCGTCGAAAGGTTGTTGATAAAATTGTCGTAGTTTGTGCTTTTGAATTTTTGAATATGTCTTTTAAGTTCGTTGTTCAATCTGTTAAAAGTTTGTCTGTCTGAAGGAAGTCTATTAGTCTGCCACACTTTACGAGCTCTTCTCTTTGCCCTGATTAAGTCCCTTATGTACATAGGATACTGGGGCAAGTTCACTGCTCTTTGTGACCTAGATGTTGATGAGGACCATGCTGCATCTTGTATACTTTTTGTAAAAGTTTCGACGGCTTCTTCTAGTTCCATTTGATTTTTAATTGAACCTGGAACAGAAATATTGTTGTTCAAATGGTCTCTATATGCGTCCCAGTCCATGCAACCTGTTATGAGCTTAGGTCTCTTTTGTACTTCAGAAGGCGCGTCGAAGAGAACCATGTGCACCGAGGAGTGATCAGAGCAAAGATCAGAGCTTGTATTGACGGCAAAAGGTACGGTTCTAAGTCCTTTTGTAATAAAGAAATGAAGTAAGTCGGGAGTTTTGCGTCTGGAGGTGGGCCAATAAGTGGGTGAATTTGGAGTTATTGTGTCTAATGAAAGTTCATGGAGGACAGACCAGAGATTTCTGCCTCTAGGAGTAGCCAACCTTGAACCCCAGCCTTGATGCTTAGCATTATAGTCTCCACCTGCGATGAAGCATCTTCCGAGGCGTTTGAAGAACTCAGAAAACATCGTGGATGTAAGCTTGTACCTAGGGGGACAGTAAACTGAGGCGAATGTTATAGTGTAGTGTTTAGTGTATAATGTTATTCCTGTTGATTGTATGTCGGGTGTAATGGGTAAGTCTATGGGATTGTGTTTTAGTGATTTTTTTATGAGTATCGCTGTTCCTCCATGTGCAGTTTTGTCTGGGTGATCAGTTCTATAAATAGAGTAATCCTGGATGTAAATTTTTGATCGAGGTGTCAGGTGTGTTTCAGTAATGAGTGCAACGTCAATCCGTTTTTCGTGCAAGTATAAGTCAAGTTCAGTACTGTGTTGTGCCAGTCCGTTGGCATTCCACAAAAGAATTGACAGAGAATCCACAGTTAAATTATTGTGAGACATAATTAGGGCACCAGACCTGTGTAAACTGTGATAGCTGTTGAAGAAGAATGAAAAGGGGCTGGATTAAGTTATTTAACCCATTAATTATATTAAATAACTGGCAAGAGCTAATAACTACCGGAGGTACCGTCTGGGTAATGCCTCCCCTCATACCTGTACATGTTTTTTGGTTCTGGGGTGCTGAGTTCGATGATGGTTGATTATGTTGCTGCTGAGGTCCAGCGATGTTCTGTGGTACCGCTTGGTTGATCCGCTGCCGTATTGGAGGGAATTCATGGATGCCTGGAGGTCCCTGTGGTGGCTCTGCTACTGTGGGATGCTGAAGACGGTTTCTCCCATTGCGCTGAACCCTGAGATCATATTTGTCGTCCAGTCCATCTCCATCCTCATTTTTTTTTTTTTTTTTACTTATGCTTTTCTTGAAACCAAATCTTTTTGTGAAAGTTTCTGTTCTTTTATGACAGCTTTCATTCTATTACTGTTCAATACTCTATATTGAATGAGTAATTTGGCCGCTACATTTTATGGCCTTAAAACTCCGTTTAATATCGATACAACTTACGAACCCTCATCCACCTTCTTGTAACACCTCATGTCATGTGTGAGAACTCATCTCCTTGTTGAAGTTTCCTCTCATATCCAGGTCTAGAAGCTAACACCTGCCGATTGTGGTGTCCGCCCCGCATGGTTCTTGAGGTTCATCTATTAGGACGCATGCTAATAATAATTTGGAAGTTCGTCCATTAGACCCAACCAATCATCCTACCTAGACCTCTGCTGTTTTAGCTACGCCTTACTGAACACGCTGTCTACTCCTTCTGATACATACTGTACACATAATCGCAACAAACCAATCAAATATGTTTTTCTTCGTTGATTCAAAAATTCATATGCTCACTACTCGTTGTAAAAACTTCTTATTTGATGATAATAAATTTAGGTACCTAGAGGTAATAAATTTACACTGTGCCTACTAGTGCTATAACTGAACAAAATCTGTGGGCGTGGCCTAATGGAGGTTTGAACTTACGTGTCTGTGTGCACTTAAGATATGGCACGAATTAAAAAAAATTGCTGTGTTATTGGTTTATATTACAATCCAAATTAACTCTTAAACGTAATATATGATCAACCTTTAAGATTGATCTTTATCGACTAAATTAATTAAGTCCATCATTTGAGATTTCTTTCAGTCAGTATCGAGTTTTAAGTCAGAGGTGTGTTATCAAAGAATTCAGTTGACTGTACCTTGTCATTTTGTTTTGGTGTAAACTGTTATGTGATAAAGTAATGTAAATATTACAGGTTATACTCCTTAATGTTTATGTATTTACCATAATATAACTAATGCCTGATAATTGATTTTCTATTTCCATAGTGAACTTTTTGTAAATAATAGGCATTAACATGAATGGACATCATACATTATATTTATATTTGTGTTTTATCGTCCTGAGTTCGTTACAATTGAATGTGGATGCAAGTTCAAAATTTAGTGATAGTGATGATGATAAATTAAATGCACTTAATCAACCTATCAAATCTGACAAGGCTTATACTTCAAATCATTTTAATGAAGGTGAAACATTAGAAGGTGGAAATGAAGTTGATACTAGTAATGTTTTAGAAGATTTGAAAAGAACTGCTAGCTATGAAGTAAAAGCCAGTGATAAGAATGATGACTATAAGTCATCCTTCGAGGCTCTCTTCATAGCTCCAGATTTCAATGGTCACCAAGAAGAACCAAACGAATTTGAAGCTCAAGGTATTTCACATTTTATTTTGTATAGTTTCCAATGTTTAAATTGTAGAATAGTTGTGTATGTTAGGGATTACTGATTTTAAATAAAGCCAAATTGTTTAAACATTTTAAAGGAGTTATTCAAAAAGTATTTATTTTGCTTTCTTATGAGTTTGTTTTAATTGATAAAATATTTTATTTCTCTTGTACCTTTATAACCTCAAAAACACAGATTACATTGTTTTAAATATTTCCATTTCAATATGAAGAATATTGAACATGTCTTTGATTTGACCTATTTAGCCACATTAATTTCAAGTTTTCTTGTTGGTTATATTAATTGAAATGGATCTATTTTTCAATCTTTAAAATTTTTTTTTAATGTTTGATGTCTTTTTAAAAAAAAAAAAAATAAGCTGCTTCCTTTCGAAAGTCATAAATCTTAATTTGATGTTAACTTTAATCAAATATTTAACTAACAATTTATAAAGAATGGGTGAAATAAAAAATTATATATATATATAAATAGATAGATAATATATTCAAATTTAATTAGCTCTCAATATTTTGTGGTTAAATTAAATTTTTCCAAGAGGATCTGTTTAAAATGATGAACCTATTTAGAATCACTTGTAAATAGTGTATTAAGAGCATAATTTCCTAAATTTATTCTAGTCTGTTATATATATTTTCATTTTCGTCATCCATCTAAGAGATGTATTAAGTACTTTTGTGTGGGTTATTGCCTCATAGGAAGTTATTAAAGCAGAAAAAAAAAATCACAAGTATTAGTTATTACTTATATTTCAAATTTAGTATTTGGTTAGTGTTGTATCCTTAGTTTTCATGTCTTGATGAATATATTAAAGCCAGTTGTTTCCTGGCAATAGTTAATTCTGAGAGTGATATATCACTTGTGGACCTTCCTGGATGAATAAAGATGTATTCTTGTTTATTAGCATTTGTAGCTCTGCATAGTATTGATCTCATGCTGTTTAGTACATCATTGAGGACAAACTCCCGCTGTTTAGTTTCAAGTGAATGGGATTATATTCCAAATTACACCATTTTACCGTTCACATTGACCAGTTCTACTGGGATTTCAGGAAGTAGTCTGGCTCATTACAACTCCTCGAGTGTGTATGAACAGTTTGAGCTCTTGAGACATGAAACAGGATTTGTGATCTGAATGAATGTATGCTGAGAGTTCGTAAAGCGAGAATAAGCCTGTTATATATTTTATGTTAGTGGCAGCTGATATGTCAAAATATGGTAATGCGAATGAGAAACAGCTGAATTCATAAATTATTGTCAAAATGTTCTAATTGCTGTTAGACGATGATAGAGGTCCATTAAAATCCAAATTTAAACATTCTCCAGAATTAGATTTCATAAGATGTGTTATTTATTTGTGGTAAAGCTTAGGTTTTAATTGGGAGAAAATTGCTGGGCGAGGTCATGGTCTTCGATACTATTTCTAATATTGCAGATTTATTTTTATGTGTAAACAGGCGTTTGATAGTGATAGTGTCTGCCACCCGGGACTGCTGTACAAACTCCCTATATTCCTACCACCTACATACTTCCTCATTATCTGTTCATGCCATACTGATCTATACTACAAAGTAAATCATAATAATGCATGTTCATCCCTCTTTTTCCAGTCTGCTGGTGTTTTTCAAGGGAGATCCTTGGTCCTATCCTTTATACAGTTTATACAGCTGATATCCCAACCCATCCCAACATGGTCATCACCACCTATGCCGATGACTTTTGTATCCTATCTGTTAATAATGTCCCTTTAATTGCATCCCAAACTCTCCAATCACATATCACAAACCTTGAAGAATGGTGTCATAACTGGAGAATAAAAATAAATTCCAATAAATCCCATCAAATTACCTTTACCCTTCGTCGTAAACCTACAACTTCTTGTCCTACAATATCCTTCAATGATATTCCACTTGTTCCTGTTGAACAAATCCGCTACCTAGGACTCCACTTGGATAAACGTCTCACTTGGAATCCGCATACTAGACTGAAACGACAAGAAACTGCTCGACGTTTCCGACTGCTCCAACACTTACTAGACAAACGCTCTAAACTTTCAATTAATTACAAAAGACTCATCTACTTAACCATAATAAGACCTATATGGACATACGGAGTTGAGCTTTGGGGCTCTACCAAACCATCGAATTCCTATCGTATCCAATCCTTACAATCCAAAATCCTTAATGCCCATATTTTGTCACAAATAAAACCATTCATAAAGACCTTAATGTTCCATATGCCGCTGATTTAGCCCGAGCCAGATACCTATCCTTTCATGATAAACTCCAGTCCCATCCGAATCCACTTGTTTCCAGCCTTGCTTCTTCCTCGATTCCTGATAATCCCCTAGGCGTCTGAAAAGAAGATGGCCTCGTGATCTTCTTACCTAGAATTAAATAGGGAGTGCTACCACTGGGCAGTATCTCTTCAAGTCTGTTCATGTCATTATTTCTAATGTGTGCATTTTTACTAGTTGTATTGTTTATACAGTTGTAAATTTCATTAAATAATTAATAAAAAAAATAAAATTTTTATGGGTTTATTTATAAAAATTGATTCTATATAAACCAAAAAATCCTTACGAAAATTGATTTTACAAATTAAATTGATAGGTGGACAGTTTGAGTGGAAACTTTATAAAATTCATCGATGTCAAAAAGATAAACCACCAGTCCATCGGTTGTATGACAGTTATGTTACTTGTGACCAAGCCAAGATAACTATTAACCGGCAAGATAATAATTATGAGGTTCAGCTGTTTTCCTCTGAAACTGACCTATGAATAGGAATCCCTTATAACAGCTTCTTGTTGAACAATACAGAATGTCTGGTCCAGTAATAAATTTAATCAATTTTGTGAATTGTTTTTTAAATAAATATTTTTGTTCAAAAACTGTTAAATAATTCAGTGTCTGTTGCTAGGATTCATGTTTTTACTTTCACTTACCTATATATATAATGTATAGTGAGGGAAAGTATTGCAATCGTGAAATTTTTTTAATCTGAATACACGTTTTGAGGTCCTCTGAGTTTAAATAACCAAGTCCCACAAAATGGTTTGTGTGTGGATAGCCTAGGTCAGAAATGAAAAATCATACGAAACTCAAATTGTGTAACTGGAAGTGCCACTTTATATCATCGATTTTACATATTTTTAAGATTTTCTCGAAGACGGCTAACGATTTTGATAAAACTCTGTGTGTTAATGTATAATTGATTTCGCTTAACAGAGCTTAAATTCTCAATCTTCAAAATGTCTTCCTCTAAAGTACCGTTAATCCTGTTTTTTTTTTCAAATAATTAACTATTTCTCATTGTTAGGAGTTATGAAAAAAAGATAAATATAACTTTTGAAAAAAATTGATAATTGAATGAAGGAGAAAAAAAGAAAATGCTTATTCAGGTCGAAAATGAATTCCACAGAAATAATAGTCAGAAGGTATATGTATAATATATCGTTGGAAAGGGGAGAATTTTAGAAAAAATAATATCTAACAAATAAAGTTGTAGAAGGTAACGGAGAGTGATGAAAAAAAATATAAATAATAATTTATGAAAACTAACATTATTTAACATAAATTATATTTCCAAGGAAATTAAATGAAATTTTCTTATTAAATGTAAACTTTTAAATTGTTTTTAAGTTTGAAAGAAATATTTAAAATCCACGGAATCAAGGCAATGCCAATGTTTAAAATACTATTTCATTCTACTGGTGTGAAAGAAGATGTGAAATATAAAAATATTTCATGGATATGTTTATAACCTTAAATACATTTACTGTAGTTTAATAACTCTAGATCTGATATTATATTTAAATAATTAGGTATCTATCGTCCATTTATTCCAAAAAATCATCATGTAACCTTTTAGAAAATTGAAATTAGTGAATAATTTGATGAATTTTCCCTTTGTGATATCCCAACAGTATCCACTTACAATTAGTGTGACAACTTTTGACCTATCTATGACAGGCAATGCAAATCTCGTAATTCCATTTTAGTAAACTTTACAATGGAAAATAACAGTTTAATAACTAATAGTCGTACAATCCCTCATCAGCGGACCGTACAACTCATAATCAACCTTTGATATAATAAATAGGATTTTTGTTATTTTAATGGTTTAGCTCAGTTAAAAATGTACTTCACAAATATTATAGCCCAACATTGCCAGAAAATACTTTCAACTCAAAGTAGAGCAGTAAGTGAAAGTTGTGTGTTGCGCGATGAGAATTTTTAATTTAGAATATATGCCTACTGCATTTCAGCAGTTTTTTGTCAAAATTCAGTGAAACAAGTCACATTCCTGTCCCATGTTGGTGCTATTCCTAAAAAAATGTGGATAGTAAGCACATGGGTCCCATTCTGTTTTAAAAAGGGGAAAAGAATTGTAGCAAAGAGCATACTACTTATCAAATATAGAACATTTAAATATTACAGCTGCTTGAATTTCAGCACCAAAAATATTTTCTTACTGTGTCTGAACTAAGACAAAAAGAAAAAAACTGGTGCGCGCATCACACGACTTTTACTTACCACCCTCATCTTATCAAAAATAAGTATTTTCAGACAAAGAGGAAGTGAAAGTCAAAATTATTGACACTATATTTATTTACAATTCATTGTGGGTATTTTCGTTTGTTTAAATACCCTTCTATATACAAATTTTAATTTTTATATCGCCGTATTCTATACAATTAAATATTAAATAATACCAATGATAGCATTTATAAAAACCGCATATGTATATGAACATAATTTTGTCGGAGTCCGTATTATATGAAGCTCATGTTACGTATGAAAGCCTGTTGTAATCTTTCGGGCAAGCTCGAATTCCTTTGATTCCTCCATTACAACTATTATCCGTTACAATTTATTATTTCTCCTTTAGTTAATTATAAAATTCTTTCATATTTGATATTTAACTATTTTTTATATCAAAGATTGATATGAAATGGTTAATTTTTT